CATTATTATCATTTATTGCTATTATTATTATTATTATTAATTATTATTATTATTATTATTATTACTGAACTTGTCGAGTGATAAAATCCAAATATAAATTTAGAGGTGATATTAGACAAAAGGAAAAACAACACTAATGTTCCATTTAAGACATAATTAAAGGGATTTGAAAATTTTTATTCATCAAAAATTAAATAATCTGAAATAATAATAGTACTAAAATATAATCTTATGGCAAATAATTTATTTATTTATTTTTTTTTTATTTCAAAGGGAACAATATCGAGGAATACAGTATGCAAGAATAAATTTTATAATTTTATCATCTTGCTGAAACACTTAGTGTTTAAGAAATGAAACGTGCAGTAGTATATTTTGTTACAAGAAAGCTTATTAATTAATCATATCATATATTGCGGAATTTCCCGAGGAAAAAAAAAATTACTTAAAGGAAGCCTGATTTTTCTGGTGCACTATATGATAGGTTATAATTTCTAAGCTATTTATGCGTTCGTTTCAATATATGGCTGATTATGACATTTGAACTATCACCTTTCATGATAATTATTTATGACTTCTGAAGGATACGATAATCAATAAGGTCTAATGATATCAAATGTAAATATATTATTTTAACAGATGTAAGTTGTTAGAGTATATGGTATTCCTTATAAAAAACTACAGAATCGCATATATTTGAGCTCTTTTCCTTCCTAAATTATCGAACAAAACGAAAGTTAAATTAATGTAAAAGTAAAAATGCTTTAACAGAATTTAAGTAAACTTATATCTTTGCAATATTTTCAACTTCCCATATCATATTTAACATTTATATATTATAGTTGTATATGGTAGCATTTTTAAGTGGTTCTTTTCAAAATTCATTGAAATAAAAATATGCCAAGCATTCATTTCATCATTTCCTACGATTTTCATACGTGCAAATTATAGCTAAAAAAAAAAAATAGAAATATCTTTTAAAAATTTAGCATTTCAAACGTACAACAAATGATTTAAAACTTATCATCATATGAAATATGATAAAAAAGAAATTTAAAAAAGAAGAAATGAGATATTAAAGGAATAAATCCATACAATTAATCATCTTTTTGCTTATGATTTCAAAGTGCAACATGAATTACTGAAATTGAAATTGATTGATGATATCAAGTGATATTGATTATTCTAGCTGTTAAATTAATATATGAATAATGAAATGTCATCTGTATCATCCGTAATTTTTCATTCATAAATACTTTGAAAATAATGAATCCATTTTAAGATTATTATCATTTCCAATTAATACTGTACAGATTACCATATAATAGTATTATAACTTTTGTTGATGTAATAGAATTGTTCGTCTTTTCTTTCGTATATTTTGAAAATAAAAAAAAGAAACAAAACAAAATGATTAGAGTGAAATTTTGTTAAAATTATTAAAATCATTTTGTATATTGCATTGATAATCATTATTGATTAAACAATGAATTAATAGTTTTGTTAATCTAAGTGGAAAAAAAGGGGTGAAAGGAAAGAAAGTAATTGAAACTTTTCAATATTGCAATATGATAACATTGGATGATTACATTTAAAGCATCACTAAAATGATAGCAATAAAAATGTTTAACTTTTTAATTGCATGTAAATTATTGATAAACATTTGATGGTTTCTCTGTTTCATTAATTTATTATCATAAAATGGTTTTAATTACTTAATGCATCCGTCATTTTTTGTTATAATTATCATAAATGAAATGAGAAAAATTGGAAAAATGACCATATATGGATGTTAATTTTCACAATCATTTGTAACATTAAAATTGTAATGTAACGATTTTCAAAACTTTTCATAAGACTAAAGTTTGGAAGCAAAAAAAAAAAAAAAGAAAAGGAGTAGAAATACTTAGAAAGGATAATTTTTTAAGGGGGAAGGGAGGGGGGGGGGAGAAAAAAAAACGAAAATTATTCTATTTATTTACAAAAGGAAGGGAAGTATATTGATTGTTATGATTTATCAAAAGTTATGTGATTAATTCAATTGCGTGATTTGTAATTCCAAAACAAAAAAAGAAAAAGAAAGAAATTGACTTTTTTTTGAGTTTTTTTTTTTTTAAAGATAAAGTTTTTCTTTTCCAGTGCATATTTATAAGTTGTGAAAGATAGAGTAACACATAATTGAAGGGAATTATGTAGAAAATGAAATTTCAGAAAAAGTTGGGTTTTTTTTGTTTCTTGGAATTAAAAGCATTTTAAAATTAAAAAATTTAAACAATTCGCCAGAAATTGAGCTAATTCGTTTTTCGTTTTTTTGTTTTTTTTTCTTTTTTTTGTACAAAATAGATATGATTAAAATCAGAAATGTGCATTAAAATGATAAATGTTTGATTAAAAAAAAAGAAGAAAAAAAATGATTAACATTTCTTCTTTTTCTCTTTTCCATATGAAATTCCATATGAATTTTTCATATGAAACATATGAAAATCATTAAAATGAAATGAAAACTAAAATAAAAATAAGGCAAACAATGAAATAGCAAAGCATACAATAAATGATTAAACATGCAAAATTTAAAAACATTCCCTAATTCTAATCTTAATTTGGGTAATAATTTTTCAATAATGACTCATTTATGGCATCCAATTCAATTGTTATAAATAAATTAAATAGGTAAATTTTTACTAAAAATAAAATTTGAATGTCAAAAAAAAGAAGAGCTATATGCTAATAATTTAGCATAAAAGATTAATAAGGTCATAGTTCAATCGTTTAGACGGATATATCATAAATTAAAAAGAAAAGAAAAATCGAACAATCTTTGGGGTGTAGCAAAACTTTTTTTTTTTTTATTTTTT